ATTGAGCCGTTTTAATGACTCCTTCATTAGCATTCATTCTGCAAACTGTTTTGTGCTGTTGATGCATTTTATGGAGGTAAACAAATCTATAGCCCACAATGTGTGTGAGACGTCAGTTCCACTTTACTGCGAGCCAAACTGCATCAGTATGGGAGGCCCTCTCACCGGTCACGGGGTCGGATCGCCCTCAGCAGATCAGTCATCGCACCTTGAAGCGATGGATCAGACTGGAACACACAGCGCTCAGAATACTGATGTCACACGTTCCAGACCCCACGTCATGAGAAAGCAGCTGTAAACAAGTCTGAAATATAATGTTCGATGACTGTCGTTGTGACGTAAATCAAATACGTTATGTTATGTGTGTTGTGCTGCTAACGTGTACAGATGTAAACATACAACTACCTGTATATATTTATTGCGCTAGAATATACAAGATTTTACACTTGCTTCTCTATAACGCTACAGCTAGAGATTTTATCTGATTTTAGTATAGAGTTATTGTTCATTTATCCTTTTTCCTACTGGTCTGTAACTGGTGATGCAACACTGATATTTCCCTACTGTGAAACAAGTAAAGGATCTCTAAAATTGAATTTACTTTTGAATAGTGCTGTTGGAGGGGCACCATTTTATTTTAAAGATAGATAGACACCTTATTGATCCCCTGTAGTAAAATCTATCTATCTGTATTTATCTATATTTTTTAGCCTGATCATTGAGGTAAAATTCCACAATAATGCGGCTTTTTCACTTCCAGAAAAATAGGCAAAAGTGGATTCTGGAATAACTCAAGATCAGTCTTATACTGATAGATACATGTATAGATACTGTAGAAAACTTTATTTGCAGACTCAAGGTCCAGACCGACGAGATTATTATTCCTGAAACACAATCAATAATAGAATCAACGTCAAAAACTCATATTTGTGAATTCTGCTGGAGCTTTGTCGAGATTTGTCCCCTGTTTATCAGAGAAACCTTAGGGGTGCAGCATTTGATTTCCTCTGTGCTCTGCTTTTATCACCTATAATAAGAAAAAAATCAGACATCAGAGGCTAAAACTCTAAGGCTTCAGGTTTATAAAGAGGCCACAGCTCTCTGAAGGGTTCGCAAACAACTGAACTGAACTGGGAGAGATATTTAGTCAGATGTAATATCGGTAAAATGAGCCTTAAGGGTAAATCCAAAATAAAACGACTCCTGCTGAATGAAGAAATACAAATCCTGCTTCATATTAGACAAAAGAGGTCCTGAGCACGTCTTAGAGTTGAGCTCTGGTTCACGCCAACGCGCAGAACCCCTGGGAGTCTTTACTGGAAACATTATTGGGATTTGCCCTCGAGGACCTGAGGCGAGAACCTTCTTCAGGCGAATAACCTGTGATCTGCCAGAGACATTGACAGTCTTAGATTTTGTGTAAAAATATGACGGATTTTTATTCAAACCCAAAGCCTGAAAATGGTCGAGGAACATCTATAGAACTACTGCTGAATTCCAAGTTAAGTTTAAGCTGGTGTACGTCACAAATCACAGAATAAATCAACGATGTGATATAATTAATCAAACTATTCCTGTTCCCGCTCTCAAAACAGACACTTCCAACACTACACTGCAAAAAGTGATGAAGAATAATTCAATTACCAAATTACACATTTGGCAGAATCTATGTTAGTTTTATCACATTCTGACAACCTTAAAACAAGATTTTTCAATGGGACAAAAACAAAGTGATCTTGTTTTAAAAATATACAAGAAATGTCTCCCTTCACAGCAAAAAATGATAAAATATGAGGTAGTAATTTCTTGAATAAGGTGGTTTGAGTACATTCTGACCGTCTTAAAACAAGATCTTCCAATGGGACAAGAAGAACTGTTGCTTCATTTTCTCATTCCATGGAAATATTTTTTGTGTCCTTTTAAAATAAGATAGATTTCTGTGTCCCTTTGGAAAATCTGGTTTCAAGGCAATCAGAATGTGCTCAAATCGACATACATTTTGCCAAATTTGTGATTTGGTAATTATCTTATTTGACTTATTTTTCATCACTTTTTTCAGTGTTGGAATGAGAATGTAAAGCAACAGTTAAAATAAGACTAAAGGCTTTGTGCCATTGGCAAATGTTGTTCTAAGACAGTCAGAAGGTGCTTAGATTAAGATAAAAACCACTCAATTCAAGCAATTATTACCTCATATTTTATTGTTATTTGCTGTGCAGTTTTCACTAGACTGAAGTTCTACTAGTTTCAGAATTCTGGTGGTCTTTATCTATCTTCAGCATGCAGGGATATTTCCTCTTAGTGTCTTTTAAATCCATCGCCTTTAGCGCTTGGCTCAGATACATTTCCTGCTGGTTTTATTGAGAAGGTGCTCAGTGCCCTGTGTTGGCAGTGAAGAACCTGCAGCCGTTTGTCAAAGCAAATTTGGTTCAGATGGAGGAAATACGAGTCCAACGGGCGATGTCAAGAAATAAATGATCATCGCCTTGATCCCAGTTGGTCACAAATCTTTCCTTCACCGCTCTTTGAAAGCCCGCAGTGTGGACATGGCACCAGAAAAACATAGATTTGAAATGAAACAGCCGTCGTTGCTGCAGATTCATAGGTCTCTGCGGTTGTAAAACACAAAAACTTGATGTACCTGTCAAAGCCGACTGGAAAAATAAACGGCACAGAAACAGCAAATAATCTGGAAGAGGCAGAAAGGTGTGCGAGCTGTTTTTCCTCTCGCCCTTATGTTTGTAATAAAACTGGAGAACTAATCTTCATTGTGTTTGCAGCCACCGCAGCCAGGTACTCGAGATAACGTTCAATTTGTTTGGCTATAATTCTTGGAGCTGCCACTTTGACACGAAAGAAAACATTTTGTCAATCATTGAAGAGCGACATTCAGAACAAGGCCACTTCAAAAACCGTGATAGAAAAAAGCTGCTCGTCTTGATTTGTCACACATACAAATCTACACTTTCTCATTTCATTTATCATACAGGATTCAAAGATGTGTATTGTCTGTTTTTGTGTGTATTGTCCGGTTTTATTTTTTTATGTCATGTCTGTATCTGTGGGTGCTACTGACCCCCCCTGCTCCAAGACACATTTCTCTCATGGGAGACGACGTAATAAATGAATCTGAATCTGAAAGATATCATTTTTCTCTTCACCCCTAGTGATGCAGATTTTATTCTTATTATTAGAAACTAGCAGGTATTGTCACATTTGTTTACTTCTTTGCAACAAAATGACTCACAGTGACCAACTTGCAGCAGCAGGGTCGGCGTCCTCAGCTCCCACCGAACTTTGACGCAACACACACTTCAACACAATCCAATCAATACCATATTTCGCTATATAGTTATTTGTTTATTCGTTTTGCTTTTGTTTTTTTCTTTTCCATCACATTTTTCCATTATATTTCCCCTACCACTAAAAACATGCTCACTAGGTTAAATCCTCCAGCTCTGGTAGTCCTGACCAAGCCAAGCATCAACATCTGGAGATGGGTTCCCGGGTGCTTTGCTACGGCCTTAGCAGCATCAGGATGGGTCAATAAAGTGCACCTTTACCTTTACGTGCGTGGAGGCTGAAATGTTAACAGTCTGCGTTCTGAAGCAGCGCCCACGCGCCTCACAGAGGGAGTTTTCCAAACACGGTGTGAAGAGGAGAGACAAAGAGAAGAGGTAAATGGTCTCACAAAGGTCACATTTGTAATTATATGTTTTTTTTTTCATTTGGAACAACTGTAAAACTTACTGAGTACCTAACTTTATTACCTAAAGAGACTGTCTTGAGGTCAAAAACAAAAGAAGGAATCTCAGGACTGCAAATACAAATGTAAATCAGTAATAAAACAATTGCAGGATTATGGATAAGCAACAATCCAAACTAAAAACAGGAACAAGACATGGACGGAAGCACAAGGTCTAAATTGTCTACACCCACACAAGGGAGGGGAACTCAATCGGCGAACAAGAAGTATAACTCAAAACAACAAGAAAAGTAATAATCATCCAAATGAATCAACATAAACTCCACTCCATGACAGAGACAGTATGGAACGTGCACTTATTGTGGTCTTATAGAGATTTTGAAATTACCATCCATCTGTTGTTGCCAGATTCTGTCTGCGACACACTGCACATTCATTATGTTTGGCTTATATCTGCCATAATTCAAATAAATGTGTGGCGCTATTATTTTTTCTGGTGAACTGTGTCATTAAAGAGCCAAAACCAGTTAAATCTCAACTTACAAACTGTCGGCTAAATTTGTTGTATTCATTTGGATCTGCATTTGCTTCCAGTGGTCGCTTGTCTTGTCCACTCCACACAGGATCCATTCATATTAAAACATTTTAAACATACAGAATAAAAAGTGTTTACAATACCCAACACTGACTGAACATCCCACATTCTCCTTCAACATTCATTCAAGCTTTGAAGCAGAGAGGAAAGGTCTGAGGTTCTCTGACTTTTCACAAAAATCCTTTATTGTGGACACGGTGACCTTTTTCGAGCACTCTCTGGTCTTCATCAAGGCGAGTAATGTCACGGTGGGTCACAGGTGGTAATTATGAGAGCGATAGATCACATGACGGTCACATGACTGATGGAAAAATTGCAGTAAAAAGGTGTGATACTAGCTTAGAAATAGTGAGGAAGAAAATAACTTGATATTGCAGAAAACGGACTACGATGAGCACTTATATACACAAGAAAAAAAAACACATTATTCATTCAAGCTTAGTTGTTTTATCTTTTACTTAAAACTATCTATTATTAGTTTGCCAAAAGAGCCTTGTTCTGCTCTCTGATTGGATAATCTGCATGTACATTATTTCCCTAATAATAATAACAAGAAAATCTCTACCTTCGACTTCTGTTCCCAAAATGACTAATATGATTTGTACATGTCGACCTATAATCTGGACACTATATACTACACATATATAGTTAGTACATGTTATACTATCCATATAATCCTTATAATGAATATGGGCATACCTGCAGGTGACAGCCACATGGTGTTTGTGTGAAGTCTACCACCAAAACATGTGCTGATTAATCAGAACTAGTTTTGTCTCATTAGAAAAACCTGCTCAGCCGATAACATAAGGAAGGAGATTATGAACTTTATACATTTGACAAGGGGCGGAGTTACACGTTTGTGCCAGAAAGTTGTTGTTGCATGATGAATGTCCTTTAAAACAAAAAATGTAAAAGTTTTGTCTGGATTAGCATTCAGCGAGCACCGCCCCCTGTGGCAAACCAAACACCGCTAATTGCTTTTTATTCCAAATATTGTACAAGCCAAGATTCTGAGCCGCCTCCAAGTTGTTTACAAAGACGACACTCCCCTCAGTGATGGGAAGACGCTGAATTTCACTGTTGGTTGGTTTCGTTTTTAGTTTATTTTCGATGAAGCCGTTTGTCAATAAACAAATGAATGAAGAAAGGCCTTCTCTACGAATCCTGTTACTGATGCATCAACATCTATGAAAAAATGAAGTTCTATATTTAATCATGAAATGTCCCCATGAAATGTTTAATCATCAAGTGTTTTTATAAAGTGTTCTTATGTTAATCGTTAGGTGTTTGCATAAAAATCCTTTGTATAATGTTTAGCCTGAGTCTAGTGAATTCAGGCAATATTCAAGGAAAAGGTTGGTTTCTATGATAAAGTATCTTTTTAGGAACATATTATACCTCTCTTATCAGGATGAGGAATGAGACTCGAAACCAGACCAAACCAGACCAGACTGGAAAGGATGCAGAGGACGTACAGGTATTCGGAGGCACTTCATATTCTTCTGAGCAGGGACAGAGAGAGAGGACATCACAGAGCCTGGTTGTCCTCTCTCATTTTCAGGCCTGGAGGGATCGTTACATAATAGCTCAGAGAGTTTTGTATTAATATTTAATTGTAAAGATAATTAAATACTGTTTAATATTTAACTCTTGAATGCTTGGTCTTATTTCTGTATCAAATTTTGAGACTCGTCCGTCTTTTTTTTTTGTCTCTCTCTCTCTCTCTCCTGGAGAAAGAACAGAGGTAAATGTCAACATTAGGGAAATAATGTTTTCAAGCCAAACATGAACTGAATATATGTGGCATCTCACTGGGTGTTGAGGAAACGATGCCATCTGAATACAGTGGTTCAAGTTGTATTTGTAAAAGATGAGCCATTAAAGTGTAATACAGAGTTCAATAAACTCGCTCCTCGGGGAAGAGCTTTTAGAAGTGAGTATCTCAAAGTCACTCCTTCCCGACCACTGCAGCACTGAAGCTCTTTCAAACTGAAGAGTGAAGAGAGACAGAGAGAGGAGAGACGTGAGAGAGAGAGGAGAGACGTGAGAGAGAGAGGAGAATAGCCACTATTGGGGACAAAACTTAACAAATTTATCAGATGACAATAATGATAATCTGGAGTAATCTGAGAACAAAACAATTCGCAGCTTGAAATCATTCGACTTGAACAACAAAAACTAGGTAATGTCGACGTAAACAGATGTGAAAAACATTCAACAATTCATTACTTCCATGAAAGAGCAAAAATAACTCAACATCCTGGACAATCTCAAAGAATGTGTTGAAGAATATAAGAGCTACAATCCGTCTCTTTTGAGACCACAAACAATATTTTGGATTTACAATGCAGGAATATGAGGGACAATTAAGATCATTGTGCATGATACAGGGTTTGCACAGCGTTTAAAGTGTAAAGTTCTGTAAAATGCTTTATATAATATACATAATAATAGACATTGTATACGCTTTGGCCCAAGCAAACGTTACGGGTAAAACTCATTGATTTAACATGATGTGACCCTGACTGGGAGTCTCTGCACCTTCTCTTCTTCAAACAACTTCACTGTCACATCAAATTAAATGCATTGAGTTGCATCAGTTAACCAATCACCGCAGATCATAGACCTGACCAAAGACCTACAATGCATTATTAATGCTGGGAAAAATGTAGGTACCCAAGCTTTATTTAGATTCAGTGCTTCAGGAGGAGACACATGGGAGAGCCTCCCTGAGGCTCCATAATCTAGTTCTGTGCACAAGTTAAGCAAAGATACGCACAAGCAGAGAAAGTTCCTGTCCATGCGACATCATGGCCACGTAACGAGCACAGGTGCGATGTTCTCAAAGCGGCTCACAGCCGCTGGAGGCGCTGGAGGCGGAAACCCGTGTCATCCACTCCAGATCGTCCGTAGTTACTAATGCCAGAATGTGCAAAATAGAACCACATGTGTCCACTGTTTCTCTACTTAGTCACTTTGTCCCAGAGCCTCATGCTGCTGACATGTACAGATGTAAACACACAACTACATATTTCTTGCACTAGTCAGAGTTTTTTTTCATTATGTTAAAGAAAGAGATTTAGTATAGAGTTATTGCTCATTTATCTTGTGCTGGGTGCTCCTCATTCCTACTGTTCTGAAACTGGTGATGCAACACTGAAATGTCCCCACTGTGGGACAAATAAATGATTTAATCATCTTAGTTTTAAAGCTGGGTCAACAAAGCATCGTCCTGTTGTAGCCAAAGCAGTAAACTCTACAACCAAAGGTTTCAATAAAGCATCAGGGATCCACACAGTATCTATCTATCTATCTATCTACAGTGCCTTGCGAAAGTATTTGGCCCCCTTGAACCTTTCCACATTTCACCACATTTCAGGCTTCAAACATAAAGATATAAAAATGACATTTTTTGTCAAGAATCAACAACAAGTGGGACACAATCGTGAAGTGGAACAAAATTTATTGGATAGTTTAAACTTTTTTAACAAATAAAAAACTGAAAAGTGGGGCGTGCAATATTATTCGGACCCCTTGCGCTAATACTTTGTAGCGCCACCTTTTGCTGCAATTTAGGGATGTAAAAAACTAAAAATGTTCATGACCGACCACCAAGCCTCATTAACCGGTTGAAACCGGTTAACCGCATAGTTTAAAATATCCCAGGTTCTTTGAAATAACAGCCATTTCGAGCCGCGTACTTTTCATAAGTGCAGCTCTGTGTTCTACTGGATCAGAGCCAAGACAGCGGCGCCAAAACCCGCAACAGCTCCGGCACCTTTGCGCACAGAGAACTGCTTTTTTAATCTTCCGTGCTGCGGGTTAAAGCATTTTTAAGCAAAAGACGGCTCGTTCACATGGTAAGAGCAGCGAGTGACGAGCCGCGTCTCGCAGGTCTCCTCTAAAGTTTAAATACAAGTGATGTGTGTGGAGCTGATGCCAATGACCATCAGCACAAACATGTTCCCATATGGTTTGACTGGAGCCGCGAGGATCCTTTGGGCTGTGTGACACAGATGAGCGCGACAGACCGGTATGTGTGTACATCTATGCATGTGTGTATGTATGTGTGTACATCTATGCATGTGTGTATGTATGTGTGTACATCTATGCATGTGTGTATGTTCTGGCCCGCACTAGTGTGCAACTTTGGCGGATTAGTAACAGAGGGGAGAGAGGATGCGTGTGGATGTTACGTATCAATGGAGGGGGGGAAATGTGTGTGTGTGTGTGTGTGTGTGTGGGTGTGTGCGCGCATGTGTGTGTGCATGTGTGTGTGGCGCGTGCGGCATGAAAGTCAGCTCTGAGTTTACTGATACATTGGCGCACACAGCTACATATGGACCCGCTCGTCACACCGTGCAAAAAGGGCTTAAAATAGCGTTATTAAGAGACCTCCTCTCTCCCCCTTTTCTTTTTTTAACCGACAGGTTTGACCGGTTAACGCTGTGACGGTCAACCACCGGTTAAACGGTCACCGATTTACATCCCTACTGCAATTACAGCTGCAAGTCGCTTGGGGTATGTCTCTATCAGTTTTGCACATCGAGAGACTGGAATTCTTGCCCATTCTTCCTTGCAAAACAGCTCGAGCTCAGTGAGGTTGGATGGAGAGCGTTTGTGAACAGCAGTCTTCAGCTCTTTCCACAGATTCTCAATTGGATTCAGGTCTGGACTTTGACTTGGCCATTCTAACACCTGGATACGTCTATTTGTGAACCATTCCATTGAAGATTTGGCTTTATGTTTTGGATCATTGTCCTGTTGGAAGATAAATCTCCGTCCCAGTCTCAGGTCTTTTGCAGACTCCAACAGGTTTTCTTCCAGAATGGTCCTGTATTTGGCTCCATCCATCTTCCCATCAATTTTAGCCATCTTCCCTGTCCCTGCTGAAGAAAAGCAGGCCCAAACCATGATGCTGCCACCACCATGTTTGACAGTGGGGATGGTGTGTTCAGGGTGATGAGCTGTGTTGCTTTTACGCCAAACATATCGTTTTGCATTGTGGCCAAAAAGTTCCATTTTGGTTTCATCTGACCAGAGCACCTTGTTCCACATGTTTGGTGTGTCTCCCAGGTGGCTTGTGGCAAACTTTAAACGAGACTTTTTATGGATATCTTTGAGAAATGGCTTTCTTCTTGCCACTCTTCCATAAAGGCCAGATTTGTGCAGTGCACGACTGATTGTTGTCCTATGGACAGACTCTCCCACCTCAGCTGTAGTTATCTGCAGTTCATCCAGAGTGATCATGGGCCTCTTGTCTGCATCTCTGATCAGTCTTCTCCTTGTTTGAGATGAAAGTTTGGAGGGACGGCCGGGTCTTGGTAGATTTGCAGTGGTCTGATACTCCTTCCATTTCAATATAATTGCTTGCACAGTGCTCCTTGAGATGTTTAAAGCTTGGGAAATCTTTTTGTATCCAAATCCGGCTTTAAACTTCTCCACAAGAGTATCTCGGACCTGCCTGGTGTGTTCCTTTGTCTTCATGGTTCTCTCTGCGCTTTAAACAGAACCCTGAGACTATCAAAGAGCAGGTGCATTTATACGGAGACTTGATTACACACAGGTGCATTCTATTTATCATCATCAGTCATTTAGGACAACATTGGATCATTCAAAGATCCTCACTGAACTTCTGGACTGAGTTTGCTGCACTGAAAGTAAAGGGGCCGAATAATATTGCACGCCCCACTTTTCAGTTTTTTATTTGTTAAAAAAGTTAAAATTATCCAATACATTTTGTTCCACTTCACGATTGTGTCCCACTTGTTGTTGATTCATGAAAAAAAAATAACATTTTATATCTTTATGTTTGAAGCCTGAAATGTGGCGAAATGTTGAAAGGTTCAAGGGGGCCAAATACTTTCGCAAGGCACTGTATGGAGGAGGCCGAGTTCAGGAGTCCCATCATCACACCTGAAACAGACAATGGGACGGCGGGTGAATAGCAATGAACAGACGACAGCTGTAGCCATACTGATGACAGATAAATTAGGAAGAGGAGAGAATAGAGCGGTTTTCATACTTTTCCAGCAAAGTGACTCCATTCGCAGCTTTACTGACAATCTGTGTTTTTGGACTTAAGGTTGTATTTTTAAGTCTTATCTGAGTCTTGGCCACCTAATCAGATACTAAATTCCCAAAAAACCACAAGTTTCTTTTTCACTTAGACCAGTTTTTGCCAACCTTATTGTAGTCGAGGCACACCTTTTTGGTTGAATACGCTCACATGGCCCACCACCTGCTGAAACTGATACAAATATGAAACTTTGCAGCTTTCAGTATGAAAGCAAAGTCATTCTGATCAAAGTAGATACACACCAATTTAAATCATCTTCACATTTTTCTTTATGCATTATTTTGGCCAATTATGTGATATTGGACTATATCCCAAGGCACACCAAACAACATTCAAAGGCACACTAAAGTACCACAGCACACTGGTTGAACAAAACTGACTAATGACTGAGTAATGGCACAAAGTCATGATGCCTCATAAGATGCAAATCCAAGAAAACCTCTCCTTTATACGGTGTAGGAAAAGCTTATGGCTGTAACCGTGACCTAATTTCTTCACCTCAGTTGGAGAAGATGGATGGTGAGCCTCAAACCTCCGCCATCGGCCTGGGTGCCTCAGTTTGAATGTTTTGGTTATTTTCAGCCATACTTCCCCCGTGACTGCAGCAAAAACTCCCCATGCAAAACAAACTCAGGACCTCTGCCTCCAAGTGTGATTTTCCAGGTGCTTGACTCAGTTTGTACAGACAGAAAAAATCCATCAAATATAAAAAATAATACAGAGGTTACACGCCCAATGAAATACACCACTAGCCAGGACTGCACCATGTTATAATAGTTACTAAGCATGTGAGTATTGGTGGGTGTATGTGTGTGTGTGTGTGTGTGTGTGTGTATGTGCGCGACTGGACAGATTGAGCTGAAATTGGGTGTGCAGTCGGGATGTGATTTAGGAAGACACCATTAAACTTGCATGATGATCTGTGGGTCATCAATGCAGGGTAGACAACTCTGCTGCCCCCAATGAACATCCAGGGACAGAACATTTAGTGAGAACACTCCGAAAGCAGAGATGCACCAACCAGACAACACCAACAACCACTGACCCAGGTCACTATAGGTCTCTCAGGTGGTGGGGGGCTGAGGTATGTTACATGGTATGTTGTGGTCTTTGTCGCTGATTATAGTTGTAGTAAGAAATAATCTGGAAATCAGCTCTATCTGGAACTGTCCTCTGAGGATGTAGGACAGGATGACCCTGGATAAAAGAACGTCCATTTTGGAAATCATAGTTTTATACTGCAGATTTTAAGATCATAGATTTAGCTAGTTCTCTGTCTTTCGTAATTGCTTCTTAGTGCACTGCAACACTGGAACGAATAGAAATGATGAATGAAAGGACCTTTACGCTGACTCATATACTAAATACATCAATATTTATTCAATCCACCGATTCTGCCAATGGACTTGTCTCTGTATTCAAAAAACATCAACACGTATGAACTCACAAACCTTCCTGCTTCAATCCTGCATTGCACAGAAGAAAATAAATCCTCCTGGCTTCATTATCTGGCAAAGTCCTCAGCTCTTGTTTAAGACTGAAATCTGGAAAAATTAGCATTGTCATCCTGGGGAGCTACCAAAGTGTGTTACACTGTTAACAAGCAGTTATTGAAGAAGGTCACTTATACCAGAGCAAAACAAATGAGGCTATAATTGTTGAATACTGTATGTCAGATCCACAACATTGATTTAAAAAACAGTACTTATCGGCACCAGCTCCTTCTCATGTTACAGAATATCAGTAATAATCAGAAATCATTTTAAATTACTGACCCATTTGGCTTCAGGACTTGATTGATGAATAGATTGTCTTTTTGGCTGGTAACACTGGGATAAGGACTAGCAGACCAGAGGGCCGGTGTAATGTGTTGCAGTCTAACAGCCGAGCATTAAGTGCAGCGAGGGTCAGATCATTACAGGTCAGTGGGACCAGGGAGGTTGGAGCCGGACAAAGCACTAGCAGAAGGGATGAGGACAAATGAAGGACTTTGAAAACACATTTATCCTAATGTGTCTCCATATCTATTCTTTCCCACTCAGCTAGTCATTTTATATTATCATAACTTGAAAATAGAAAACCAAGAGCAAGGAAAGTTCATAAGGATCTAACGACAGTGGGGATTATCCACGACACTCAGCAATATCAACATTTATCAGCCACTCCGCCCCCCAGCTCTCGAACTCTCTCCCCCCTGACCTCCGTACCATCGACTCTCTTCCACTCTTTAAATCCAGAATCAAAACCCATTTGTTCAGACTGCCCTACCCCACCTAACACACACCATCCCATAATGCACTCCTGTTTTTAATGTTTTTATTATGTCCTGTACAGTGTCCTTGGGTTTTGACAGGCGCTTACAGTATTATTATTATTTTTAACTGGTCATCTGCCCCTTATGGACCAATGGCTCTATGTGTTTTTTCTGATCCATGCTGTATTATGACAAGATTCATATTTGTGTATTAGTACATCAAAATCCATTGTTAACATTCGAGATAAAGGCCACTTTCTTATGACCTGAGCCTGAGACTGACCAGAACCTCCCTTTTGGTCCGACTGATTTATATGTTATGGCAGGTGTCAGCCATTGGCCCCCCAGGTCTTACCTTCTCTTCTTGCATGAATAAACCCATCTTGCCCCCTCTCTGCTGACACGTTCTGTTCCTTCTCACTCCTCCTCACCAGTACATTAGTGAAGGCTGAATGTGAACGAGGCAGAGAAGGACAAAGCAAGCTTGGATTGCATCGTGCCTGTCTGAATAACAAATACAAAATGTTCCTCTTGGATCCATTTATTGAAGCATTACATTTCCACTACAATTGGTGAATCGACAACTGTGTAAAGTCCTCCGAGAATCAATAACTGCTGTTGTGACTTAGGGCAATACAAAAATACATTGAATTTAACTAAATATATTGACATTGTCCCATTGTTAAGACCTTTTCAAAGTCAATCTCTCGTCGCATCTGCAGCACAACTGTAAAGTAAGTTGCCAATTGTTGATGCTGTTTTGTTTTTTCAGTTTAAATCCTCGTCATTTGGAACTCGTCCTTCCTGTCCTACATCTGGTTTCCTCAGTGTGGTGCCCAGACAGAGTAATGGCGGCGTCTCCGTGGATCAATGACTTGGAGGTGAAAAACTGTGGAAAGAGGCAGAGATGGAGAGATGGGGGAAAAAGCAACGATCAGGACAAGGACAGACGGAGGAGGGGGAGCGGAGGGAGTGGTCCAAAGATGAAGAGATGGAATGGAGCCAAGAGGTGATGGACGGCGACATTGTAATCCTTGTGCTTTTAGGTTTCCTATAAAGACATCCAAAGACATTTTGCCCTTGTGTCAAAAAAGTGAATTAAAGTTTAAAGGTTATGTAACATTTATGCTTCATAAATACTGTAATCCATGATGTTTTGAACCCCGGAAAGAGTCTGGTAAAAGTACAGAGTAAGAAAATCAGACCCAAACATCTTATATTAAGAGATACTTTATTTGTTCTACTGTGGGGAAATTTTAGTGTTGCATCACAAGTTACACAACAGTAGAGAGGAGGAGCACACAGCATGAGATAAATTAACTCTAGTCTGAAATAAGATAATTTATCGGACTTAAGCTCTTTTGCTTAATGAAGAAAAAAAGTATAAAATCCTCTCCTATGAGAAAACATGTTATCTGTGTCTTACTCGTAATGACGAGCCCTGAGAGTCACTGTTTGATGCTTTAGGGATAAAGAGCTGATTCTGAGTGCATGTGGTTCTCTATTTTTTTATATGAATGAGTTTTATTTGTTTTAAGACAATCAGATTGTACTCAGATTAAGATAAAACAACACTATTCAAGCCATTTGTTCACCTCATATCAAACATTTTTTGCAGTGTAAACATTAATGGGTAAAATACTTTGAAAATGTATTTCGTTACAGAATACTGAACACATGACCAAAATCGTTTTTTTGTATAGTTTTCTGTTACTTTGAATCAAATTAATTATAAGTTATTTTAAATATTTATTAGTTGAATTGGAAGGGACAGAACAAAGAACATTATTATAATGCCATGCTCTTGGCCATCGAGCCAGAGGCTAATTTTGCAGACCCGGCCCCTAGATAGTAACTGTATTCCGAATACTTGTTACTGCCTTTTTAGAAATCATTGCCTTTTATGACTTTCCTCATAATATATAATATATCCTCTAGAAATAAAACCATGATAATTTACGCGCACACACAGAAAGCTACGTTTAGCTGATGCTAGTTTATTGGTTGCCGCGGGGGCTATTATTTACGATAGCACTAAGAAGAAAATAGGATGAAACGGTGATTGAACGTCCACAATATGAATTTTGGAGACTTGTGTTGTTTCCGTGTCTTGCTCTGATGATGCAGTCTCTGATTCCAAGTCTGACCCCTCCATGTTTTTAAACCTTAGTCTCCTCTGTGTGATCACTGCTGTTCACCTGGACTTGTTGGATGCTCAATGCGTGGACACGTTTTCTTTTGTTGTTATTTTTTACCTTAGAGAAGTAATATGAGAAAGTATGTAATCCCATGATTGTCAGACAGTAACTGAACCAATTCTAACTGATTCAAACTGATTCTAAATACCAGACGTTAAAGTAGTAACGTCTGGTATTTAATAGTAGTAAGAATGCAGTCACTCAAAATAATATTCTGAATACGTAACAGCGTTACATGTATTTCATTAGATGACCAATGTCCATAAATGTTAACACTATGGTCGGGAATCTTTGAGAACAATAAATCTAAATAACTAGAGGCTTTGTAATTTATTAACTGCTTTTAAATCATATATAAATATTTGTCCTGAGAACAGCAAGAAATGAATATAGATGACCAATGCAACTTTTGCCCTTTAAGTAGCAAAAGGCCCTTATCTTGGATAAGACTATAGACTCTAACTGGTCTATAGTCGAGTATAGTCCAGTGAGCCAGGTTTAATGCTGCCATCCGGTAGAGCGTGGCTTGGGTCTTGGGACTTTGAACTCAGGCTAACGTCCATGCTAGCTGCCCAATGTTTAGCATTGAGGTGATACTCCATGTGCTAATATGCAAACTCAATAATGCGCTTCCCCATATGACATTAAATTGTGTAAAATGACGCCATGCATTATGTTGTGTAAATATTTCACCTTAAAGTCCTGGACCTTGTTAAAAGATGTCCATTTTCAGTTGTTGAATTTCTAATATCCTGGATCCTCAACTTGATAGAACTACAGTATAGAACAGGGAATGCACCATTTTGCTGGGGACACATGTTTTGTTGCACTTTTCAGGCCTTCGTCGCAGCTTCTCACCAAGAATCCTCTGTAATGGGCACCGCAGGGACATACCGACATAAAGTCACTGCCCCAAACACACACCAAACACACATCAAGCACACAGTCACATTGGTCCCAATCTCCCACCACCTCCAGACGGATCGTCCCGCTCTGCTCCTCGTATCGATTTATTCTACAGAGGTATTTACGGCATGAAAAGAGAAATACAGTTATTGCCCACGGGGTACCCAGTGTATTTATCTGCTTTAGCGGCCTGCGGTCCCTTTTAACTGCTTCAGTGCTGGACCGAGACAATCACACGTCAGAGAGGTGACAGGAGTCCAGGGAGAGCTCAGCCATTTCCAAGCAGCTAATGATCCGTCCAATGCAGGTCGGGGGCAGCACTAAGAGACAAGTCAGAGAGAGAAGGAGAGAGACGCCTCCGGACTCTCAGAGTGTAGAAGGCTCTGCTTCAACCATTAGAGGTCTGGTCGCAGCAGGAGCAGAGAGACTCCAGCTCACGGTGTGTGCAGAGCTGTTTGGTGTTGGATGGTGTTTTTCCTGAGTTTGTGTGAGCTTTTGGGGCTCACTTCATTACTCTGAAACTGTGCTTCCCAGTGTGGAGTCCGGTGCCCCCTGGAAGGCCTCAGAGGCGCTGCAAGAACCTCCAGTGTTCAAGAACAACCTCCAAGAACAATAAATATGGTTTTTAAGTGTTCGTGAGATGTAGAGCCCAAGGGAAAAAGCTTCAGCAAAAATAATGGGAAGGAAATTTTTGACTGAAATTATCACACAATCACTACCTTTTAACAAATGTTCTTAAGGCTTTTTTTTATTTATGTTTTAGCATTACTTACTTTCACTAAAACTAGTGCCAATAACTTTAAATACAGCAAACACTGTTCGGTAAAAGATTAATACTAACTGCTATATTAGTAAACAGTGTGTTGCTATGGTAACAATCACTTGCTACAAAAATAATATAGAAACTACATATAGAAACAGAAAAGGTCTAACAGATGGGAATAGCAAAAAGGTACATTAGCTCACTTCCAAAATAAAGAGCCTGCTCTGGGAGTACTTTTCTGTGTTTTTGTGTAGATCCCCATTAGCTGTGGAGAGAAGGATGAAGATCAAAGAGCGTAATAATAATCAGTGGGACACGGTCTTTCTCAAGGACCTTTCTGTATTTTGGTGTAAATGTAAAAGTACTGAACAGGGCTTGGTCTGAACTATAGTTGATGGTCGATGGTTCCCCTCTCCAACAGCATCTCTCCAACCTTCTGCTCCTTACTGTTCTGTAACCGGTGATACAACACTGACATTTCCCCACTGTGGAATGCAGGATCTTTTCATCAACTTGTCTTTGTAAAATGTGTGTAACTGCTTCTGCTGTTTGTATTATCCATGGTGTGGACCAGGGGAAGTCTTGTGCATTATTCCAATGTGGTTTTATTGCAAATGGCAAATCAACTAAATCTCGTATGTTTTTGCAAAGTGAAAACCGTCTCTCTCTGGCCTCTCTCTCTGGTCTCTCTCTGGTCTCTCTCTGGTCGCTCTCTGGTCTCTCTCTACATTATATTGATAAGGTGAGTTAATGGTTTGGTGGTGATGCCCAGTTGTTTTGTTATCACTAAGGTCCATTTGTTGATAAACAGTATTAAGTAACGTAATACATGTATCACCATTACGTATTCAGAATACTCTGAGTAACTGTTACAGTTACTACTTTAAAGTCTAGTATTTAGAATACAAATATGTTTGAAAATCACTGGAATACATAATTTTCACAGTGCATCTTTAAGGTTAAAAAAAAAACGCTGCATATTCTTAAAGTGACAATTCTATTTTCTCTGGTTGTTAAATGGCAGATGTTGAAGCACTTTGACTTATATCACAAAAATAAACAACAAGAACATGTTTTATTCATTTAAACATGTATTGATAAACATTTATTTAAAATAAATATAAAAGATAAAAACAATGATAATTGAATGTATTCTAAATATTTGGAGTACAGGTACAACTTTTTCCAAAGTAACAAAATACTTTACAAAATAAATGTTAAGTTCATATATTCAGTATTTTGGATCAAAATAAATTCTGATATTACTCTACCCAACACTGTTGATAAATGTATTTCACTTAAACATAGATAAAAGGAAACATATTGGACTTCCCTTTCGGAAAGTGGAAATAAAAACAGCTGCAAACTGATTTGAGGAGACAGAGAAGTGATGTCACACTGCACACCGGGCTATCTGCACAATCACAAACAATGTTACAAACTCCAGCTGTTTGTGCGTGCTCTCTCCTCGACCCTGTGCTCAGGACTCCAGCCGAGACAGAGTCTGTTTACAAAGCACTGGTGAAAAGCCAATAACTCTCCCAGAACAATAACTGATTTAGCAAGATGCAAAACCAGTCTGTTAGCTGCCACCGGATCAGCTATTTCTACTCTGGAAACTGGACACAACCGGAAACGGCAGCAAGTCCTCAGTAGCTCCGAGGCAGTTGTTTTGTGTTCGTTTTTACAACTAACTACTGATTCTATTCAATGTATTGCTTTTATCTCTTTTTTTAAATCCATATTTCATCAAGAGTTTTAAACCCCATACTTTTACAGCTATTGTTTTATTATGAAAGGATTGTATATTTCATTGATTATGCATTATGATCTGTGTTTTGAATTGAAAATTGAATTAAAAAATAAAGAATACAGGACCATTCTGGAAGAAAACCTGTTGGAGTCTGCAAAAGACCTGAGACTGGAACGGAGATTTATCTTCCAACAGCTGTAATTGCAGCAAAAGGTGGCGCTACAAAGTATTAGCGCAAGGGGGCCGAATAATATTGCACGCCCCACTTTTCAGTTTTTTATTTGTTAAAAAAGTTTAAATTATCCAATAAATTTCGTTCCACTTCACGATTGTGTCCCACTTGTTGTTGATTCTTGAAAAAAAATTATTTTTTATATCTTTATGTTTGAAGCCTGAAATGTGGCGAAATGTTGAAAGGTTCAAGGGGACCGAATACTTTTGCAAGGCACTGTATATGACCAACACACTCTCTGGCCCTACACCTCTCTCCCACCACTCACTATCTCTCCTCCATTTGCTTCTGCCCTACTCCTTTTTATTTTTCCTTCAGAACAGTGGAAATTAAGAAAGTAATGTTTATTTATATAGCGCATTTTTACAGGCCAAGATCACCCAGAAATCAGATATTGTTCCGATCATTCTACACACGGTGATGGCGGAAGCGAGTCGCCGAACACATTGGCACATCAGCCCCCAACCAACACCATCCATTCACTCTCTCATTTACATTCATACCTATTATTGTGCATGTTTTTAGTGGTAGGGAAAACCGGAACACCTGGAGGAAACATACGCAGACGAGGAGAACATGCAAACTCCACTCAGAAAGGCCCTGTTCCGACCGGGATTCGAACTCAGGACCTTCTTGCTAAGAAGCGAGAGTGCTATCTACTCAGCCACCGTGCCGCCCAACTTAGGCAACGATATTCTAAACACCTTCACTTTATCTTCTTGACCAGTCCCAGACCCCAGACTATCCAATCACACATGTCCGAACGTCGAACAGCTGATGAGGCAAGAAACGTCCAGTAATGTGTGCTCAGCTTTCTCCATATCCTTGATGTCAGTTAACGGCGATCGGAGAAGAGAATTAGCAAAGATCAGACGTCGGATCAATGTCTCGTTCCAACTCCTCCGAAACCGAAACAGGACCAAAGTTACCTGCAGCGTCAGCCACTTTCTGTGCAACTTCACAAAAACAAGCATTACGTACATCAGGGCCGCCTGAATCCACGGCCTCTCCCAGCAGGAGCCAATCTGATTAGGTAATTCTCCCTGGTGTTAATATTGTATTTCTTTCCTCCCGTGTGTGTGTCCGTGTGCGCCAGCCTGAGAATCTATGCAAATTTTCCACCAAGTCAGTAATCAATAGCCAGGAGCCATGGGGAGGAACACAGCCGTTAAATAATGACAAGATGGTATCGCGCTACGAGGTAATTGACTCAGGAGGAAATACTGATGCTATCTGTGCGTCACTTTTGGAGTGATTATTTTCGGTTTGAGAGTTTTGTGAGGAAAACACAAAATGGATTAGTCTCACAAGAAGTGGTATACACAACGACGAGCAGATGGGATTTGATAAATGTTGGATTTGGAGCCGGAATGTTGTTATTGTTTCACAGAAAGTATCGGTTTGTTTATTTTAGAAGCCAAAGGATTACTTAGAATATTTCAACACACACACACACCCACACACACAGAGAGACGCACAAACACACCAAAATGCGTCGAACCAATAAAACCCTCTCTACATTCTTGCATTCCTTGTTGTTATGAATCTTATGTAGATATTGATTAGCATTGTGTCTGCATAATAAAACTTGTAAAAATAGATTAAGTGCATCATACAGCCTTGTCTACTGCTCAGAACTACAAAAATACACATAAACAGTAAATGATGAGGTCAGTAGTCAGTGATAAAAGTTCCCCAACTCTGCACTTTTTAAACAGTTTTCAGAATATATCTCTTATGTAAACGGTGTCAGCAGCGTGTGGAAAGTACAGAATTAGCGTGTGGTCAGAGAAAGGGTCAGAGCGGTGGGAGTCTTTCCTTATGTGGTTTTAAAATGCAACGGCAAACTGCCCCAATGGTGATCTGTTGTTGTGAAAGCTGCGTTCTCACCGCCGACACATGTACATTTCTGCCTCTGCCTCTTGCCTCTGTCTTTGTCTCTGCCTCTGAAACTGCCTCTACAACTGCCTCTGAAACTGCCTCTGAAACTGCCTCTGAAACTGCCTCTGAAACTGCCTCTGAAACTGCCTCTGAAACTGCCTCTGAAACTGCCTCTGAAACTGCCTCTGCAACTGTCTCTGCAACTGTCTCTGCAACTGCCTCTGCAACTGCCTCTACAACTGCCTCTGAAACTGCCTCTGAAACTGCCTCTGAAACTGCCTCTGCAACTGTCTCTGCAACTGCCTCTGCAACTGCCTCTGCAACTGCCTCTACAACTGCCTCTGAAACTGCCTCTGAAACTGCCTCTGAAACTGCCTCTGCAACTGCCTCTGAAACTGCCTCTGAAACTGCCTCTACAACTGCCTCTGAAACTGCCTCTGAAACTGCCTCTACAACTGCCTCTGAAACTGCCTCTGAAACTGCCTCTACAACTGCCTCTGAAACTGCCTCTGAAACTGCCTCTGCAACTGTCTCTGCAACTGCCTCTGCAACTGCCTCTGCAACTGCCTCTGAAACTGCCTCTGAAACTGCCTCTACAACTGCCTCTGAAACTGCCTCTGAAACTGCCTCTGAAACTGCCTCTGAAACTGCCTCTGAAACTGCCTCTGAAACTGCCTCTACAACTGCCTCTGCAACTGCCTCTGAAACTGCCTCTGAAACTGCCTCTACAACTGCCTCTGCAACTGCCTCTGAAACTGCCTCTGCAACTGCCTCTGAAACTGCCTCTGAAACTGCCTCTGCAACTGCCTCTGCCCCTTGCCTTGGCCTCTTGCCTCTGCCTCCTGCCTCTTGCCTGTCTCTTCCTCTTGCCCCTTGCCTCTCAGCAAGAAGGTCCTGGGTTCGAATCCCAGTCGGAACATGGACTTTCTGAGTGGAGTTTGCATGTTCTCCCCGTGTCTACGTAGGTTTCCTCCGGGTGCTCCGGGTTCACCCTATCACTAAAAACATGCACAACAGGTATGAATGTAAAGGAGAGAGTGAATGGATGGTGTTGATTGGGGGCTGATGCGCCAGTGTGTTCGGCGACTCGCTTCCGTCATCACCGTGTGTGGAATGATAGGAACAGTATCTGACTTCTGAACATTGTAAAGCGCTTTGTGTGACCTTGGTCTGTAAAATGCGCTATATAAATAAACATTACTTACTTACTTTCTTACCTCTTGTCTTTGCCTCAGTCCTTTGCCCCTTGCTTCTTGCTCCTTGCCCCTCGCCTCCGCCTCTTTCCTCTGAGTCTTGCCTCTTGGCCCTTGCCCTTTGCCTCTTGCCCCTTACCTCTCGCCTCATACCTCTCGCCTCTTACCTCCTGCTCCACATGTCACTCTGGTCTTGATGGGTGGTGGCAGCTTGTCACTCCACATCACACACACTGATGCAGCTCAGACTGGATCCCCGTCGGGCTCATTCCCTCCACAATCAACGGGGAGTCACTTGAAACCTTCTGTATACACAAGAGAAGGTGAACAAGTGACGCCTTATTGAAAAAACATTTAATTCCACAGTCATTTAAGGTCTTCACAGCAACCTTGAAACTTTCAGCTAATGTAATAATTGTAAATGTAGTTTCTGTTCGCAGCAATTAAAATGATTTTTATCAATAACCTGGAGGACTTTTGATGAATTACTATGGCAACGGCCCTAATTTTATACTGTATCTCTCTCTGACTAATGGATTCAGATGTGGTTATTTGCTTTTTTTAGTGTAACATGCTAGTAACCATCTGTCTTTTTCTCCAGAGAGAGAGACCAGAAAGAGAGAAAAGAGGGAGAGACTAGAGAGACACCAGAGAGAGAGACCTGAGAGAGACCAGAAGGAGAAAAAAAAAGAAGAGAGAAACCAGAGAGATGTTTTTGGAGTGTATACACACGGTGGATGAGAAGCACGCCGCAACAAAAGCACCAGAGAGAGACCAGTGAGGGACCAGAGAGAGACCAGAAAGAGAAACCAGAGAGAGAGACCAGAGACAGGCAGGAGAGAGAGACCAGAGAGAGACCAGAGAGAGGGACCAGAGAGGACCAGAGAGAGAAAACCGGAGAGAGACCAGAAAGAGACCAGAGAGAGACCAGAGAGAGACCAGAGAGAGAAACCAGAGAAAGACCAGAAAGGGACCAGAGAGAGACCAGAGAGAGACCAGAGAGAGACCAGAAAGGGACCAGAGAGAGACCAACGAGGGACCAGAGAGAGACCAGAGTGATGGACCAGAGAGAGAGACCAGAGTGAGACCAGAGAGGGACCAGAGAGATGTTTTTGGAGTGTATACACACGGTGGATGAGAAGCACGCCGCAACAAAAGCACCAGAGAGAGACCAGTGAGGGACCAGAGAGAGACCAGAAAGAGAAACCAGAGAGAGAGACCAGAGACAGGCAGGAGAGAGAGACCAGAGAGAGACCAGAAAGGGACCAGAGAGAGACCAACGAGGGACCAGAGAGAGACCAGAGTGAGGGACCAGAGAGAGAGACCAGAGTGAGACCAGAGAGGGACCAGAGAGAGACCAAAGAGGGACCAGAGAGAGACCAGAGTGAGGGACCAGAGAGAGAGACCAGAGAGAGACCAGAGAGAGAGACCAGAGAGGGACCAGAGAGAGACCAAAGAGAGGGACCAGAGAGAGAGACCAGAGAGAGACCAGAGAAAGAGACCAGAAAGAGACCAGAGAGAGACCAGAGAGGGAGACCAGAGAGAGATCAGAGAGTGACCAGAAAGAGAGACCAGAGAGAGACCAGAGAGAGACCAGAGTGGGACCAGAGAAAGACCAGTGAGAGACCAGAAAGAGAGACCAGAAAGAGAGACCAGAGAGAACAAAATGGCCTTGAAAGGTGAACCGGGTTGTTGTAAGAAACCACTGGACTGTGTTATTCTGCAGAACTGTGCGCAGCGTTTTTGCTCTCATGAATCAGACGGAGGAACCTTGGACATGGCAGCCTCATGATTACGATGTGTTGATGGAGGCGTTGACAAAACTGTGGTCAAATGGAGCTCAGCACTCAGAGAAACCAGAGCCAGTACACTTCTGCTTAAAGCTGAAGGCACTGGGTTCACGACCAGACCATGTGGCGGATAGATATTCACATGGTTTGTTTAAAATATCCCAAGTCTCTCAGTGTTGGTCGTTGTTTCCCATTGTTAGAGGCTCGAGAAAGGCCTGTCCTCTTCTGATAATACACACACTCATACCAGAGTTTCATTTTGTTTTATTATCTTATTATTACAAATATTCTTAAATAATAAATCCCATTTGATATTTGCAATCTGAGAGCTCTTATGTACTCTTTTGTCATGCGTGTGTGTGTGTGTGTGTGCTTGCCTGTTTACATAAAAAGTTGCTGTATTTGATGTTGTGTGTGCGTGCGTGAGGGTGTGGGTCCTGTGTGCGTGCTTGTGTAAATTTGGATGTGTGTGTGTGCATGCATGTGTGTGTGTGTGTCCTGTGTGCGTGCCCTTGTGGATGTTGTGTGTGTGTGCCTGAATTTGTGTGTGCTCTGTGTGCGTGCTTGTGTGTGTGTGCTTGCTTGTGTGTACATATAAAATGGCTGTATTTGCTGTTGTGTGTGTGTGCGCGTGCTTGTAGTAATCTTTATTTAGTAATCTTTATTTATATCTTGTGTGTGTTCTATCTGCATGCTTGCGTATATCTGGATGTGTGTGTGTGTGGGTGTGTTTGTGTGGGTATATATGTATAGTTACTGTGTAAGGTTGTAATCAAAGAACATTGAGAATCCAGCTGAGGTTCACATTGAAAAGCATGTCCCCGGTGAACACAGTATTGATTGGGCCCTGGCAGGTCTTCGTGTCAATCCAACACATCGATCTGAAATGACAGGGATGAAAAATGTGCAGGGAACCCCCAAGTCGAAGTAGACATGTGAGATATTTGTAATGGCAAGGTAATTTGATTTGTATTGCAAAGTTAATACACAAGGCAACTCAGAGTACTGATCAAAATAAGATGGAAACAATAAGATAAAAACCCTCAGTTGTATGCACAGCTAAACACAACTGTTTTTAACCAGGATTCAAACATTGTCAGAGAAGAAGGCTGTCTCACATTTTCAGAAAGACTGTTCCAAATCAAAGCTGCATAAATCCGAAATGCTGCCTCCTCCTGTTTAGTCCAACCCTGGTCTTACCGTCGTACTCATTTCATTTCTTACTAAGGTCTGGATTTGCTTCATTGAGATCCGCTAACAGGTGGGAAGGGTTAACTCCTTTTGCAGATTGGAACGATTAGATCTGAGTTTACCGTGACGTGTGTATAGCGCCTGAGTGAGTGGTTAGCATTTAGCCTAATCTATCTCCTATGCCACTAACGGAGCCAGTGGGGAGTAGAGCCACAACATCTTTGACAGCAATGACATTTTCTTAACATTCCTCTTGTTCCGGCTTCAATTTCTTCATATTTGGGATCCGAACTAGAAAAGATTGAAGAGCTTTCTTTACTTTAGCATTTGCCACCATTGCCAAACTACAACCAGCTAATTCAGCGCAAATTCTTACCCACAACAACTCCCGCCTCCCCCTCACGCTGAATGGTTGGAGGGGATTCAAACAAGATAACCACAGCCACAAAGATCAGACCCAGGCGTACATGCAGGGAAATGAAGGCCATGGTGGAGAGACTTCTACACAAGCAGAGCTGAAGCTGGATCATTGACGCATAAAGGTACTTTAATCTTATTTCATGGATGTCTTTCATGGACTTACTTGCTGCTGATACAAACACACTGATGCAGCTTGGAAACCTCCTTGTACCCACTTCAGTCCTATGATCATTGGATCATTAGTCTTGTCCGCACTCTCAGAATGGTTTCTGTCAGAGCGGCCACTTAGAGCCTCCTGTTGCCGACACACATTTATCATTAGCCAGGGCTTTATTGATTATTTCAGAGGTTTTTTGAAAAGAAGAGTGAACACATCGACACATCGGGTTGTCAGAGGTGGTATGATTTGAATGTTCGCTGATGAACAAAATGACCAGGATGTAAAAGAGGTATGTCCCACAAAGATATAGTTACACGTTTATTGAGTAGCGCTTTTAAATAATAACAATAATAATAAGTATGCATCTGTTTTATATACAGCGCTTTTTCGGACACTCAAAGGCACTCTACATGTCTGTATATATCTGTAACTCTAAACACTACACCACAGCTGCCCTGGGACAAACTGATAGAAGTGAGGAAACCAGTATGTGCCATCTGCCCCTCCCACACACACACGCACACACACACGCACACGCACACACACACGCACACACACACACACCAGACTCATTCTAATGTGGAAGAAGTGTGGGCATACCTCCGAGTATGGCCACACTTCCAATCACAGGCAGCTGTGATTGAAATCCACAAATCTTCATCTTCATTTCTGGTTTTCATATCTGATCGTATGGAGTTAAAAATCCAGTCCAGAAAGTCAGAGAGAGACGACAACATGAGGAGCTGCAGGTGCTGAAAATGTACTTTTTTCATTGAGAAAATATAGAATAGTGTCAAGATCTTCTGTTCATCATTTTTGATCAGTTTTATTCTTATTATCTAGTATTTTTTCTTCTCATATTTCCTCTTTTGAGTTTACTTCCCATTTTGAGTTTACTTTTTTACTGTTTTTTATCACTATTTTCAGTGTATACTGTAAAGCAGGGGTCTCCAATCTCTAGCTCGCCACCCCCTTCCAGGTAGCTCGCCAAAGGATTCAGAAATGAACAAATCAAATAATATACTTAATATATCAGATTGTATTTTTCATAATCATTTATCATTGTGAATGCACTTATAACAAATGATGATAAATAACGAATCTACCCAATATCAGGCTTGTTCACACTAATATAGCACCAATTTATTTCCCAGGGCCGCTTAAAAGAGTTGCTCTCTGCCTCTATCGTCTCCAGAAAGTAGCTCATGGGTGAAAAAGGTTGGAGACACCTGCTGTAAAGTGACAGTAACACATGTGGTTCTATATTGCACATTCTGACATTAGTTGAAATATTGCACGGATGCTCGACATGTGAGGTCATGTAGTGAGTGTTTGTTAGCATTTGGTTTCAACAAGTAAACATTCTGGAGATGTAGATTCTGATGTTTTGTGGATGAAAGAGACAGACAGACTGTACACTGTGTTGCTTATAATTAAAATATCAATGTTTTGCTTTTGAACCACCTGCCGTCACAATGCACGCTAAATCATAGTGGTTATAACTTTTACAAAGGCTGCCATCTGGTTCTGAGTGATCTCACAGCTGTGCTCTGTTTTATACGATTTAGAAAAAAAATAAAAAATTCAAAAGACACACACACGCAAACACAGAACGTGGGCAACAACTCTCCATACAAAATACAAAACCTTTATATCTGTACATGAAACGGGTCTTAGTTCTGTGCGTTCAATTAGAAAAACAATGTTGGTTCAAATGTCACCTCCAGATCTTGAATATAATTTTGTCATTTGTGGTCGTGTAATACTGATTATAACCAGATAGGGGTCAGGAGCCGATACAAACGGGACTTGGAAAAACACAACATCAATGCAATAATTTAACCTCACAAAAAGCTCAGACAAAGCCACGTACACCTGAACAACAAGATACAACTGGAGAGAAAATGAAATGTCAAAATCCCATGTAGACCATGCAATCAGCGAATCAGAAAGAGATTTCAACGAGATCAACCAAAGAAAAGCAACCCAGGAAAACCTCAAATGAGCAACATCCGACCACTGCAGAGAAGAAAATCACAAAATGGACCAAGACAAAGCAGAAGTAGTAAGAACAGAAGAAAGCACAAAAGGAGACGAGAGGAGGTTGATATCAGGAAGTGGGACACACGGACCATCAACAGAGACGAGGGGGCCTTCACCCTGACTCACACTTGGGACTCACTTCTCTAGAGACCACAGGGGGGCGTTGTCAGCCCCATCAGACTGATATGGTTCTTTATTATATGACTTGGATCGTACGCGCGCTCTGATTGGCTGATTTGCAGTCTGATATTTTCCCATCTTGGAACGTTACCATGACAATTGGTCTGCAGCGCGTATCAAATTTGATATCTTTCCTTGGTAAAAAATAAGTATTGATCAACAACTGGGAGCATTCTCACAGTGAAATCTATTATCCGGACGAGTTCAAAGAGCCAGAAGAAGTAATAACAGCAAATAACGGCGAAAACACAACTCCTAACAGTCAAGAAGTGATTGACAACTTTGTTACAGACCAGAAAGCTAAAATGACGATTAGGAAAACCAAGTTGGACATGAACATACTTCACAAATATGTAAAAAGCATTTGTAAAGACACAGAAGAGATTGAGAATTTACCAGCGGGCGACTTCAATCATCTGATAAGCAATTTCTCCATGTCATGATTTGACAGTTTGATTGCATGTGTTTTTGCTTGAAATTAAAAATAAATGCATAAATTAAAAATAGTCATATGATAAAACATTTATTAACCTCGCGCTTGTTCAATAAGCTGTTTATATTGTACATTCTGACGTTATCTATGATGATTGCACAGATTCACGTCATGTGAGGTCAGGTCGTCACTGTCCTTTTAGTCCTTTGTTTGTTGTACAGTCTGACAGCCGCAGGAAGGAAAGACCTGCGAAACCATAATGCACAACGCACCTCGGCCGAACGAAGGCGTAGTAAACCCCATTTTCAGTCTGCTCCCTCTTCCCTCGCTCTCCCCCCAACACCAGAGCAGAATGAAAAAGTGAGAGACTAATGTGATGTTCTTAATAGTAATAGATGTGTCATATGCTGATGTTGCATGTGTGACAGCTTACAACAGACAGCACCCATCCTCCTCTCATTGTAAAGTAATTAAAGTGACAATCCCTTCAATCTGCCGTCTGCGTGCATACAGACAGCACAGTAATGGAAAAAAGTATGCATGGCCTGTCACCGTCAACAGCCACGAGAATAGTC